ATAAAACAATTGAGCTACAAGTGAAGTCCCTAGGAAACAAAGGGCATCCTTAAAAAGGATGTTACAGAGAATGTTTAATAAAGAGAATGTTTTAAGAGGTGTGGGCAGGGTACAAGGGACATGCGGCACCCAAGGACTAGCAGAAACAGAAGCCACTACCACCCCCAAATGGAATGATAAGGGGGAACGGCATTAACAGAACGCAGCTGGGAGCTGGAACCACGGAAGAGGGTCCACCAGAAGAAAATACGGTTGTAGAAACAGGAAGCTGTCTCTAGGACCGTGAAAAAGCAGGAGAGGAGCCAAAGGAATAAAGACTCCATCCTCTCTGTCTTGGCCCTCCATCCCCTCTAAGTGAATCCCATTGGCCAAACCCAACAAAAGTTGGACCCTGGGTGATAGTCTGTGAAGGTAAGTTTTGTGGGGCTCAGAACAAGATGGAAAACAGTAAGGCACAGGTCTGGGGCGCACCAAGTTGACACAGCTAAACTACAGCTGGGTCAGGAATCAAACTCGGGTTTGTCTGAATCCAAACAACACACCGTATCCACTGCTGTTATGTATTTCTCACCCATATACATGACAGGTGCTTAGCAGATAGTTACATAATGAATGAAATCCCAGATGACAGTTGAGGAAACTGAGATCAAGAGGCTGTGTGTCTTAACTTAAGGTACCAGAGCCCTGGGTACCCTGGAACCATCTCCTGGTCTGTAACTCGCTGCTGTCCATTCAGCCAAACATCACTCCCTCCATGGATGTAAAAGGCAACCTGCAGCCATGGGTTTCTTCCTCAGTAAATCTTTTTTGTAACGATTCTTATGTTGAAACAATCACAACTTAGCGTCAAATTGCAGACTTATGGTATTTACTTGATCCAGCCTGCCTGCCTGCCTGCCTTCCTTCCTTCCTTTTTTTTTTTTTTTTTTTTTGAGACAGAGCCTCAAGCTGTTGCCCTGGGTAGACTGCTGTGGCATCACAGCTCATATCAACCTCCAACTCATGGGCTCAAGCGATTGTCCTGCCTCCACCTCCTAAGTAGCTGGGACTACGGGCGCCTGCCCCAACGTATGGCTATTTTTTGGTTGCAGCTGTCATTGTTGTTTGGTGGGCCCAGGCTGGATTTGAACCCACCAGCTCAGGTGTATGTGGCTAGTGTCTTAGCGGCATGAGCCACAGGCGCTGAGCCTCTTTTCTTTTTTTTTTTAAGACAGAGTGTCACCACGTTGCCCCAGGCAGAGTGCCATAGCGTCACAGCTCACAGCAACCTCAAACTCTTGGGCTTAAGTGATTCTCTTGCCTCAGCCTCCCAAGTAGCTGGGACTACAGGCACCCGCCACAACACACCCAGCTATTTTTTGGTTGCAGTTGTCATTGTTGTTTAGCAGGCCCGTGTATGGCTCGAACCCACCAGCCTCAATGTATGTGACTGGCGCCCTACTCACTGAGCTATGGGCGCCGAGCCTTGAACCAGTATTCTAACACTTGAGATGGACAGGGACAGCTTAGAGCCCTTCTTCTCTTTCAGGCTTCCCACCCCTATCCTCACGTTCCTATGTCCAGTGAAAGCAAATCTTGTATCTGCTAAAATGAAGTAAGAAAAGAGTAAGGCATAAATGCCTTATTAATCCTGAAATACTTGCTACCTAAAATTGACTTCAAATACAGGTACTAGCAGTATGATCAATGGGAAAGACACACTGCCACTGTGTGAACGAGCATCCTATCAGGGGAAGAGAAATAGCTCTAGGTATGTCGTATGGAGGACATTGAAACAGGGAAGTGGTATAAAGGTCTAGCAATATACAAAGAGCAAAAGCAGCAATTTGACCATAAGCCCTGCATTATCATTCACAATTACATCCCCCATGCCTAGCACAGTCCCTGACCCGTAGCAAGGGTTCAATAAACATGTGTCGGATCTATGATTATGATTGCAGGTGAGAAGGCCACTAACTGTTGGAAAGCATTAGGACATCCACACAGTTCTGATAGTTCAATGAACGAGGATGAGTAGCTTGGCCTTTGGTAGGAAATCACATTCCAAGCCTTTCATTCAAAACCTGTGAATGGAGAATATTTACTGAGCACCTACTAGGCTCTAGGTACTATTCTAAGCACTTTGCAGTATCAACCTTCATATGAACCCTATGATACGGGCCTCTTGTTTCCCATTTTACAGATGAGGATGAAACTGAGGCAAAGAGCTGTTAAGTAACATGCCTAAGATCATTTAACAAGGAAAGAGGAGAACCAAGCCTTCACCCACACAGTTTGGCAACAGAGCCTATGCTTTTAATTTCACCATATATTTCTCTATGGCTTATGTAATGAAAGCTTAGCCCCAGATTGATACTTTTGTTTCCCATTTTTCTTGACTCTTCTCTGGAGCAGGAACCAGCTAGCTGTTCCCCCAGTCTCTTGTTTCCTCTTTTTTCTGGGCCCAGAGCAGACATTCCTCATGGTTACTGTAGCTGTGTGACAGAATTCTAGCAGAGGAATGTGAGCAGAGGTAGCGTTTGTCCCTTCTAGGCTGACTCATTAACCCTTTCACGTGCTGTATGTTCTTTTTCTGTCTTTTGGCTCCAGGAAGGTGAGGTGGTGAACTTGGATGCCACATGTTGAAGAGGTGGAGCCCCTAAATGGAAGAAGACTCGATCCCTGGGTGTTGCTTTGAGAAGAGTTAAGAACAAGTCAGGAACATCTGTGTCAGACTTTAAATGAACCAGAGATGAGCGTCTATCAGTTTTCTGCCTGCTAGGGTTGTTTTATTATAGTAGCACTCGTGAGTTACCTTAAGTACGACATACAGAAATTGTAATGATCCTCCCATTGTCCCTTGAACATGCTTGTGGCTTTTGAATTCTTACTATTTCCTTCAATTCCTCACATCCCCAAAATTATTCAAGGCCTAAACCAAATTCAATCATTTTCAAGCAACTTTCTCTCTCTCCCATCAGCCACAGAGATATTTCTTTTCCTCCCCTTCCCTAGCACTATGCTAGCTATCCCTCTCCTGTGCACTTATTATAGCCCAGTTCTGAATGGCTTGCTTTCCCGGTGGAACTGCAAGCTCTTCAAGGTCAAGGATCATGTTTTTATGATTCCTATGACTCTGAAGTCCATAAATGGTGTTATGCCTGGGAATTTTCCATAAACATTCATGGGGAAAATGATCTTATCAATGTTCAATAAAGTCCACTTTCCTAAGGCAAAAGCATGAAGGCATGTAAGCTATAATTTTCTGGATTTTGTGTTTTTATTCTTTTCAGCAATATATACATTCTCACACTTTTTGACAACTGCTTAGAAGAGACAGAAGGCATACTTATCAAATTTCAGATGGCGCCAACTAGAAGTAATAAATAATGCACAAGGTGACAGAATCAAAACTAGACACACTGGAATAAAGCAGACAGCATTTAATGGGAGAAACTACACAATTACATTAAAAAAAAACAGTTACCCAATTTCAGCATGGAAAGACATGGCTAACACCAATTTATAGGGGACAACTTTCAGGTTTTAATTGGCTGCTAGGCTGACACCAGCCTAGAGTGGTACTTAGGACCTTGTTCATTGTTAGGCTTGGGTGGTGAGTACGCAAAGTATTCAGGTTCCAACAAGGGACAGGTGTGAATGAAGGCTGCTAGGGGCTGGCCAGGTGGAGGTGGATGGAGCCCTCTAGGTCTGGTAAAAACCAGCAGTAAAGGCAGGATCAAAGCCCAAAATTTTATTTAACCTGGTGTTAAATAAATTAATACATAATAATAATACAGTCATTATAAATAAATATTACATTTAGCCTGTGCAAGCTAAGCACACGGGTCAACTTGGTGGTTGACCAAGTTGGTGGTGGAATCTGCCTTCCGGGGACACCGTTAAATGATTTCTAACACTAAACTAGAACTAAGAGGGCAGCTTGTTCCCCCCAAGAGTTTTCCTTTATAAGTAAAACGTAGTAGATCTTAAAGATTTGTTAACTTTTATCCCCCTTCCCAGTGTCAGGGTCAGAGCGGTCCTTCACCTAAGACCCCTCATTTTTGAAACTGAGAAATCCGGTGTCATTTGTAAATTCAAGACATCCTTGGGGAAGGCAGATCACGTTTCTCTAGGCTCCATTGCAACAACCATTTTAGGATGCTCAGATAGAAATGCTTCCAGAACCCACGTTTCCTAAAACTTGGGATCAGAGTTCTCGCAAGGAGGCTGTAGCCTGGGCTTTGGCGCTAGACCACCAAAAAAGTGAATACAGGGTTAGGCGGCATTAAGAGCAGCCGAGCATCTGGAATAAGGGTGCTGCTGTAGTCTCTGCTAGTCAGACTACACAGGAAGAATTGTTTCTTTTCCGGATACCATGATTTTAAAAGGATACAGGAAAATTGGCGTGTATCAGAAGGAAGCTGACCAGAATGTCCAGGAGACTTACAAACCAAACCACTAGTTACTTTCTGGTGATCCCGGCTCCAGGACTGGAGGTTATCAGGTTGGGGGGCTCAGGTAGCATAGATAATAGAACTGTTTTCAGATACGTGAAGGCTGTTTTCTGAAAGAAAACGAGCACTTCAACGCCAGAAAACAGAACTGGAACCAGTCTCGGATTTAAGTTGAAATTACGAATTGTTTAAACCATTACAGTAATTGGAAAGTAGACTAGACTTTCTAAGTCAGCGAGGTTCATGTTCTGGACAAACCCTAGAAGCCCTCCAGCTGCTCTGTCCAGACCCAAGCCCGCTCTCCAAGTCCGCGTCGGGGGCGAGGCGAGGTGTGCACCTGCGGCAGAGGGCGGTGCCGTCGGGTCCCCGAGGGGTGACTTTCCGCGGAGGCCCGCCACCCGCGCACCCCTCTCGCCCCCGCCGCTTCCTCGGCCGCCGCCCCCAGCCCGGCTCCCGTGCGGGCCGTGGCGCCTCTCCGGGGCTGCAGCAAAAGCCGGGAGCGCCGGGGTGGGCGCGCGGGCTGCGCGCGGGCCGGCGCCCCGAGCTCTGGGCATGCTCAGTCGCGCGGGCAGGGCTCCGGGCGCGAGCCGCCGCTCCTGCACCACATTCATCGGCTGCCAAGAGGAGCCGCCGGGCGCTCGCAGGCTGGGCGCGCGCTGCCCGCCGAGGACCCCGCCGCCCCCGCCGCCGCGTCGCCCCCGGGAGCCATGGCCGGTCTCGGCCACGCCGCCGCCTTCGGCCGGGCCACCCACGCCGTGGTGCGGGCGCTGCCCGAGTCCCTGTGCCAGCACGCGCTGAGGAGCACCAAGGGCGAGGAGGTGGATTTCGCCCGGGCGGAGCGGCAGCACCAGCTCTACGTGGGCGTGCTGGGCAGCAAGCTGGGGCTGCGGCTGGTGGAGCTGCCGGCCGACGAGAGCCTCCCGGACTGCGTGTTCGTGGAGGACGTGGCCGTGGTGTGCGAGGAGACGGCCCTCATCACCCGACCCGGGGCGCCCAGCCGGAGGAAGGAGGTAACTGCCCGGCCGGCGACGCGAGGGGCGCGGCCGGGGGCGCGCGCCGGGCCCTCCCCGGCCGCCGGGAGCCGCCCGCCGCCGGAATCGCGGAATTGGTCCCGGGCTAGTTCATAACTTCCCATGGGGGGTGTGTGTGTGCGTGTGTGTCCGAGAGTCAGAGAGAGAAGTTCATTGTTCACACCTTCCTGCCGTCGGGAGCCTTCGAGACGATCTTGGTTGAGTGTGGTTGGGCAGGTGTGGGGGCTGGAGACTCCGTCTCACAGCAGTTTTATTTGTAAAAATTCAACAGCAGCAAAGACAGTGCAACTCTGAGTTTCCCAGGGAGCGGGGGCAAGGCGGATGCCGCTCCAGTCGTGACACTGAAGCCCCTAGGTCCTTCCTGGCGCTTGAAGCGGGGCGGGAGGGTTAAATTAACCAGCGGAGTGTCGGTACCCACAGACCTGGGGCGTCCCAAGTTACTTTTCGGGGTTGGCGGGTGAGTCCGGTAGAATGGGACTGGTAAGTGAATGAATGGAAGGAAAGTGGCTGGTGAGCTGTGCTGAGTGTGTGCGTGAATGGGCTGGGCTGGAGAAGCTGTACTCGCCGTAGGCTGTGGGGTGTGAGTATCCGCGAGCGTGTTCAATTGGAAATTCTCGTTCCACACATTCCATAATTTTTATTCTCTCTGTTTTTAAACTCAGCAATTAAGAGGGCTTTACGTGTTCTCAAGAGATAGTAACTATTTTGAAATATTGCCGTTTGTGAAAATGACTATGATTGCTTTGAACACAATGTAGGTTAGTGGGGAGAGACAAATGCAGTGAGATTGGATTTTAAAATGCCATCTGGCCTGGGATTCTTCTCATTGCTAGTGAAGAGCCCAGGCTCAAGACTCTGATAGCCTTACAAGAAGCTAGTGGTTTCTTTTCTGTCTGGGGGTTCAGGAATTTTTTATTTTGTTTTTATTCACTTCCCATTGGAAATGCTTCATAGAGCTTATGATTAAAATATGCTTATCCTTGGTTAATGGAATCCTGCATGGTCTGAGAGAATAAGTGTATTCCATTTGTTCCTCCTTGAGATAATCAGCTTTTTTCACTCTCCATTAGCAGAAAACTCAAAGAGTAACAGGTCTCATTCTTTCAGCCCTTTGATCTCCTTTGCCACACCTCTCCATCTTTGAGTCTGTGAGATTCTCCACTCTTTTAAACTGATGAGGATTGTAACCCCATTTGAATGCTTTTGAATGTGTTCTGGACCATATGGCAGAGCTGTGGTTTGTACCTAAAAGAGTAAAATAGATTTTTCAAACGGTACTCATTTGATGGGGTAGTCAGATGTCCTCTCAAGAGACTGTTGCCATATTTGTCCATTTCATTCCGTTCCTAGAATGAAACCTTCCAAGTTTTGGCCTTCCTGGTGCTTAAGTGAGCAGTGATCTTTCTCCCCTACCTAGATTTTGAGGCATAGATTTTAAATTGGCTTCATCCTGATGATAGCCTGGTGTTCACATAGCGTACTGGATATAAGAATGTGAGACTGGATCTCAGCTCCACAACTTCCTAATTCTGTGACTTTTGAAGAAGTGCCTCTTGCCTCAGTTTTCTCATCTATAAGGTGGGTGATACCTGTATTGCAAAGTTTTGGTAATGAATGTATTAATCTCAAAACCATAGGACAGGACATTTAGTGAATGTTGACTCTTATTATTCATTTAACAATGGGTCATAGAAGATTTACCCCTTTAGTAAGAAGTCAACTATGCGCTGATGTAGTTAGTCATATTTCTATTTTCTGGGGTGAAGGGGAGCCATCTTCAAGCCTAATCTGTCCTGTGATTCCGCCTCCCAGCTTGGGTCTCCTCCTGGTTGTGTGGTCTCTCCCCAAAGCGCCTTTCGCATTTTTCTCAACCAATCCGAGTCACCAGGATAACAGACCTTTTAGGCAGGTAAAGGGATCGGATAGTCTGATGACTTGGGCTGCTTCTGGAGAGCAGAGCCATGCAGGACAACGGTCTTTGAAATCTCTCACAGTGCCAGTTCACTGCCTTGGTAGGTGTGTTGATGCTTGTTGAATGAATGAAAGAAATGCTAATACAGACACGGGCTCATAGTTACTTCAAGGTCCTCTTTGAATTGGTGTATATATTTTTATATATCTGCCTTCCTAACTGCAAAAATCCATAACAGCCAAGAAATTATTTTAAAATTATCATCACTGATCTCCTTTTCTCCATTCCCCTCATGTTCCATTCTATACCCACGTCATGGCCAAGCTGGTCTTTTAAAAATTCAAGTCTGAATTGCATTTGTCAATGTACACAGCTATGATTTAATAATAAAAAAAACCAAATCTGACCCTGTCTCTCTGCCCAGCATTCTTGAAGGACTCCTATTGTGCTGAGATAAACCCACCCGGCTGCCTTTCTAGCTTCAGCGTCATGTCTGACCCCACCTCAAGCACCCCCGACCCTCGGCACAAGCCAGGTTCTCTCACTCAAGCTCACCACACGACTGCTTTTCTGGATACACATTTTTTGTATATCTGGGACACTCTTCCTCCTCTTTCTCTGCCCTTTAACTTGGCTGTTCCTACCCGTGCTTCAGTTTTCAGCTTACTGTTGTCATTAATATTATTAATTAACTTTTATTGGGAGCTTGCCACTTGCCACACTGCCAGGTTTATGACATGAGTTTCACTGTTGCTCACATCAGTTCTTCATGCTCAGTATTATGCTTATTTTAAAGTTGATGAAATAGGCTTAGCGAGATTAAATAAATCGACAAAAGCTATACGGAGGAACCAGTAAAACCAGGATTTGAACTCAAGTTTGGAGGACTGTAAAGCTCTAGTCCTGCCCACCGTGATGCCCCCTGTGATATTAGCTACCACCTTCCCTGGAATTCGTTTTTCTTTATGAGTTCCTAGAACTCCCTATATTTCCTTTTATATTAATGTACCATATAATTGCCTGTTTACCTTTCTGTATCGCCAGTTACTATGTAAACTGTCAGGGCAGAGATCGTATCTTCATTGCTCAACATTTTATCCCACCCACAACAGGCAGGCAGCAAACATTTTGTTGAATAAATGTGTCCTTGACCTTAGGCCTCCCTGCTCCGGACATATTTGGTGTTTTGCAAGCATTCTCAATCAGTGGAGGCCCAGAAGGTTTTACTGTGAATATGGGTGGCTTATAGCTGTTTCTCTCTTCCTTTCCCCTTCCCTGTTCCTGTTTTTGTCTCTTATTGTTTTTATTTTCATTTGTTTTTATAAAAGTATTGAGAAGTTCCTTCTTAATCAAAACATCACACTGTATTTCATGACTTTTCTTCCTTGGAATTCAAGAAAGTGTTCCTGGGAAAGCTCAGTGTTGGCCTCAATGCGGCCTGGAGAGATTAATGAAACATAGGCCCTCTGTGCAGGAAGCTGAAGTTTCAGAGAAAGATATTGTGTACACAGATAGTCAGGAAATTATGCTAATTGTCAACAACTCTGTGTCTTCAGGACTATGAGGAATTTTAATATATTTAATATTTTGAAGACCAATCAGCCTTGAGAAGACTGTTGTATTTTAAATGAATCCAACTTGCTTTTTAGGGGGAAAAAGTCAACTTCTAATGTCAAAGTACTATCAACAAATTATCTAAAAGCTGAGGAAGGGCAAGTGACAGGGTTGAGGTGTTTTTTGTTTTTTGTTTTTTAGATACAGAGTCTCACTTTATTGCCCTCGGTAGAGTGCCATGGTGTCACAGCTCACAGCAACCTCCAACTTCTGGGCTTAGGTGATTCTTTTGCCTCAGCCTCTTGAGTAGCAGGGACTACAGGCACCTGCCACAACACCCAGCTGTTTTTTTTGTCGCAGTTTGGCGGGGGCTGGGTTTGAACCCACCACCCTTGGTATATGGGGTCAGCGCCCTACCAGCTGAGCCACAGGTGCTGCCCAAGGGTTGAGGTTTTTAAAAAAGTAATTAAAACTTTTGTGTTGGTAATGCATGCCTACAGTACCAAATTCAGAAGGTACAAGAGGATGTGCAGTCCCCTCTTTAAGGGCAACTATTAATACCATTTTCTTTTTTTTGGCCAGGGAGGCTTTGAACCCACCACCTCTGGTATATGGTGCCAGTGTCCCTAATGCCATTTTCTTGAGTTTCTTTCCGGAAGGTTTTTACTACCTAATAAATGATTAACTGACAATGCTTACTTAAGCAAAATTGTGAAATATATTCTGTGCCCCTTTGTCCCTTTTTGAGAGTGATTTTATCCTTTCCTGGGTCAAGCATTTTCACAAAGTGAAATGTTATTACACAAAGTGAAAATAGCGTTAATTATTCTTTCCTTGAGCTTCAGCATTTTTAGGAACCCCTTTAGGAAGAAGTCAATGCTTTGCAGAGGTTAATAAATTCCTTAAGTAGAATTAGGCATCAAGTGGGGGAATGTGGGCATAAATGGATGGGTGGGCTATGTACATTAGGATAGACGTTCCCTTTCTATTGGGGTGCTTGACTATTAGGACCTACGTAATTTGGATATATAAAGTATGAACATATGAACTTTTTCCTAACCAAAGAATAAAAAGCATAATTATGTTGATCCCAGGGGCAAGGTGAACATCAAGATCATGTCTAATAGCAGGAGCTAGCAAATTCCACTTCTTGGACTGCATGTGCAAATCTTAAAGCCTGGTAACATCATTAGTTCTTTTAAAATAAAAGGAAGTTGAAGCTCAGGTAACCGAGGTTAAGTAGCTTGTCTAACGTCGCACATAGCTAATCAGTTGAGGAAATGAGGTTTTCATGAAAATTTGAAGGTCATTTTTGCTTGTCGCCAGTTGTAGTTAATCCTAACAGAACATTAAATCAATACCTAATACATTAAATCAATGCATAATAGAATAATTACTTGGATCCCATTATACACATTAACCATATACAACCTAACTTGGATGTTAACTAAGTGAATCATTTTACTTCCGGTCTCCCTTAAATGAGCGTAGGTTCTTTTCATTTTAGTTAAAA